GAAAAAGTCCATCAAGCTCCCCCCCCCTAAAAGGGATCTAATAAACGCAATTTGCTTTTTGGAAAAAGTTCCTATTTAATCCTAACATTTCACAGGACATGGAAATTTCTCAAAATCTCATTAAACTTCTCAAAAAACCTTCATATGCTAACTGCTGGGTCGTGCTTCCCTGAAATACACTAGCTATTCCCATCTATACCGACGTCTTCTACCAGGAGCCAAATGCGACCCCTATCGAAAGTTCATGCTATTCCATTGGGTATCGAGCGAGTTAGAGCACAGAACGTTCAAATCGACGAATAGTTCTTCGGCTACAAGGCTTCTGTCAACCAAAGGGTGAGAGTATATGGAAAAGCACACACTTTGTGTCTTATTGGGACTAAGCCTTTTGAAGGAGATAAAGAAAGAGGAGATGCTGTGATAGTGTGCACTTGTGAGAGCTCCCAGACAGCACTACAAAACGCTGAACTGCCAAGCCTCACGGTTGACAGAAATCCTGAGACCACAGCTTTTCTAATGCAGCTGATCTACTCTTAGTTCCTATGGAAAAAAAACGATTACCGAATTGACAGTTAGGTCCGCTGAATCCTTTCGGGCAGATACATTCAGTTTCGGTATCGCTTAATGAGCCGCCATTCATACAAATCGGCACCGTGCAGAACTTTCCTAAATCATTCATTCAAACATATGGTGTGCAAAAACTGCACCGATCATGGTAACAATGGGAAAATGTAAAAAATGCAGGCCTTCCTGGAGTACCTCTTCCAGTTCTCCTACTATATAGGAAAAGCGGGATTTTGGGCACAGGCGACTACCTTCCAATTTCTGTTTCAGCTGCGCATTGGCTGCTAAGAAGAGGGCTACTCATTAGAGCACAGTCAAGTCCATACGGCCCCCATCAACTTTCGTGTTCTTTTTTTTTTGAAGTGCCGAAATCCACCTTCTCCGACAGTGTTAAATCAATAATGAATTAGGAAACTGTTTCCCATCTGCTTTAAGAAAATCGATTCTGATCGAAATCGATAAAAAGCAGAGGATTTCGTTAAATTCAGTTTCTACTACTGGAATCATCCATGGGGTCACCTCACTAAAAACCGGTTTCCAGCCTTCTGCTTAGAGATATATATTTTCGATGGAAAAATATCCATAAACCAGGAGACATCCTCACATTCTCTGCTTTTGCTCAGGTAAGTCTATGTAGAATAAAAAACTAGGCCTTAGCGTCCAAGATTTCAGCACGCGTCGTTCTGCACTCAGATTCCCTTATTAAAAGCTGGATGAAGAACTACGTAATGAGGACCTCTCTAAATATTGAATGGAGTCCGAAAGTTCGAAGAAGGACGTTGAGAGTCAGCCAAACAGGTAGTCCTAGTCTGTTAGTTCCTTGTCGAGTCACGGGTGATATGGTTAAATATTGATAAACGCGCAGTTCACATGGGATGGAAATCGCAATCCGATAGCGAAGAACCTTATATGTATTGTAAAGTTAACAAAGGGAAAAACAGCTAGGTGCAAGGTTATTGAGTCCAACCTGACTCAGCGAGCTATTATTTTTTCATTAAATGCTGCGGGGCATTTAAAAAAAATCGCACCTGTCCAGTATTCCGTGCATACACACGTGCCATTATACAGAACTCCACCGTTGCTACAGCCTGAATTCAAAAATAAAGCGTCTACTGCACAAAACATGGATTAAAAAGGCACGTAGTTTTTCCGACTCCTTATCTCTCCTATCTAAGGCCCACCTCACATAGTACAGCATGTACGGTACTCACCCTAAGACCAAACGCGCATGGTAGAACGATTTGGCTTCTGCTTTTCTCGGTATGAGACAGTTTACCTAGGTAGTTGTTCCAAATTTGTCAGAATGCCTCTGTGAGATGCAGCGCATAGTGCTTCGACCTGCAAGTTGTTAAACAAATAAGGCGCGACATCGCGGTGTGCCTTGTTGCCGCATATTTCCTCTATCCCTCCCCCGTGTGCTCACCGATAGCTTATAAGAAATCTATCGAAGAAAACCATGGGGTCATCAGTCTGTCGAATGTGTAGGAAGTGCATTGAAAAAAAAAATAAAAATGATCAATATTAGTCGTAGATGTTTATTTACTGACTGTACCCTGTCGAAAAGAAAATGTATATACCTGGCTGGTTGCAATGAGCTATGGTCAGCCTTTGGAACGAGTAGCCGTATTCATCTTCACCGACGTGCTGAAAAATGATGGAAATTACCCTTGTTTTTCGCTCACAGTACCCTTTCCACATATTTAGTATTCATTATTTTAACCCTTATCAACTTGTGGCAATGCACAGAAGAAATGATAAATGAAAAGATAGGAAATACTGGAAATTTTCTTTAAGTTTTGCATGACTCTGTAGTACGAAGTCCAGTCGATCAACCCATTAAGAAAGATCGACACTTTTGCACTGCGACAACCCCAGTAGGTGTGAGACTGATCAATTTTTTTCGTTCAAACTTTGCTGTGGATGTTATCTGGGTTCCTGATCACATACATACGACATTGATTTTTGGCGCTGGCGCTAAACTGATGCAATTTGGCGCCAGACTGCACCAACTTGAAGGAATCTTTCACGGAAAAATCATGATTCTATTTCAGCCATAAATCACTGGCTTGAGACTCATTATCCACGATAAGAATGAAAAGAACAGAAATATTGCTTTTGTTTTGGAAAAAATTCGAAAAATCGAAAGGGCTGCTACGCGTTCAAAGTGCCCACGGACGTCTTTCACAAATGCTGGCGACGGGGATGCTTCCACTTGGTTCTTGGAGTGCCTTCACTAGAAACTCTTTCTGGCCTTCTGCTTTATTGCATTCACATCTTACACTTCTACTCCATCCTATTCTATCGATCGATTTGTCTCTACTCTCCGAAATCGCGCGCTTTAACCCGATTCTTTCATTGCGTCGCCTGATACGTAGCCGGCCAAAGGCCAACTTCTTTCCATGCCTCGCCTTTGGCTCCGCCCGAATTACCTTCGATTGTCCATAGAGTGTAGTTTTTGTACGTTTGTTTCTCTTCGGAAACCGAATCTTCATGCGTGAAACTTTGTGTGCTGTTTCCAGTGATCACAACTGACACATTCATGTTGAGAAAGAATGCAAGAATTTTCCGCAAGGATTCCTTCAAGGTGACTCTTGTATTCAACGGATTCGCAGTAACTCACGTATAGGGGGGGAAGCCTGAAAAGGGCAGGGCTTCAGAGTAGGTGAGTGGCTCATCCCTTTATGTCGACATACTTCTGAGTTTATCCCACCTGATTTGGAGCCCCTTCCCCTCTCAAAGCTTAAACCCGAGCCAATCTGATTGGAGAGAGGGGCAGACGAGCGGTGGCTGCACCTCCTGCACCGGCGAAGTACACCTGAGAACTATCTTAACGCGCGGCGAATTTATGACTTACCATTGCCCGGTTTTATTATAGAGCATATGGTATGCAAGTGAAACCTCACTTGTGACGTTCGCCGAAACTTTTTAACTGCCACAATCACAGCACAGTGTAGCACAGGCGCGATTTATCATGCACATCCGCCTCACCTCATATGAGGTGATTTCGAGAAGTGAGTACACAAAAATAGACGATACTGAATAATTTCAGAAATATACGATGCGAAGAACTTACCCAGGGTATAGTAATGGTGGAACATCTACCAAGAGCAGTGGTAATAGCAACGAATAGTAAAATTTATTAGTTCCTGCTGCGGGAATCTTAAGCTGATTCTTTTTCAAATCTCATATCTTGCTATCCCCTTCCTTCTATGTTTACCTCTATTAATATCTCTATTCACTTTGTCATGACTTGGATGTACAAATTTTAGGGATCACTAAATGAACGAGAGTTTTGTAGCCGTATGATAAGGTTTTTTGAAAGAAATGTTGAAGATATTAGAATGCCGTACCGAAATCATGAACTCGTCTCCAACACTTCGATCCTTCGGACAACTGAACGGCTGCGTCACCCATTCGAATGCGCAGTTTTGGCGTTTCTCGTATGTGGCACCATTGAAAATCTTTCCTACAAATATATTTGTTTTCTCGTAATTTGCCTCCAATTCAATTGATCGCCTGTAGTTTTCAAGGAGTGCAGCACCAAAGTTTGTTTGAGGAGTAGCAAATTGTCGTTGGGGAGTAGCAAAATTGTCGTTGGGAAGGGAGCCGTGAGGGAATCCTACAACGAATTCTTCGATTTCCCAGTTCAAGTCGGGTTTCATTTTTTTCCTTTTCTGTGACTTTTTGTCGCACGATATGTACTGTATGCACGCCACCTTCTTTCAAAAAACGAGAAGAACGTCGGGTGCAGGACCATTACACCACAGGTGACACTCTCCAGGCAGGGTCAACCGTCCGTTGGACAAAGTCCAACGCGACGACGAGAGTAATGCCGAGAGTGAACGTACGCACGGAGACACAGACGGCTCGCGGGTGGCGAGAGTGAATGCCGGCGCGGAGAGCGGTGAACATCGGTCCAACGTCGCTCCAATATCGGTCCAACGTAACGGTTGACCCTGATTCCAGGTGAATTTAATCGTTAGTGGTCATAGTGATAGCTGATTTCTGGTAAATGATAGTTGTAATTAGTGACAATCGATAGAATACAACTGCAACAGGCTAATCATTTCATTGGCAGAAAACATTAACATTTTGTGAAGGCCGTCGTCACTTGTGGTGCATGGTCTGCACCCGACACTTTCTCGCTTTTTGAAAGGGCGGGTACGTATATCGTAACCACTGTGATTTTGTATCTGAGAACTTGCGCTCAATATCAGGGTTTCAAGTACCAACACAATCCCAGCTAACATTGCCTTTATCTTACTTAGTGCAACATGCACGCTGCCCCTCTTACACCTACGAAAATTACCTATAATTCGATCACCCGCCATGCACACCCAGTTTACCGGTAATATACATCAATAAATCTGTGCGAACGTTTGTGTAAACGTATTTTAAAAGCGAAAAGAACGTGAACATACCGTCGTGAGAGTCAAGATGAAGTGCATGGGTTAGTTTAGGAACACTATGTCGATAATTATCTGCGGGATTCACATAAGGGACGATTTATTCTCGATTCATTTCTTCCAATTATTAAACAATTAGAAGTATTATGGAGAGGCAGGGATAGCCGAGTGGTTAAGAGGTTAGACTCATGTCTGCACCTCCGAAAACCGCGAGTTCGATCCCTGCCGAGGGCTAACCATGCCTTGCAAAAATTGCAAAAATGGTTCTAGTACCAGCGTCAGGCCCAGGTTGACAGGCCGGCTGATGAATACCCAGTCACACCAATCATGTCTAAAAGTTGTCAAAGAATCAGTGATAAAGCTAGGACGTCACCCGGAAGTGGCGCGCAGAACCCCCGCCCGAGTTCTGTGGTCAGTATGCGAGGGCTACCGAGGAGTGAACGGCCTCGGCCAAAGAAGCTAGTTCGAATAGGGACTCTGAACGTAGGATCGCTAACTGGGAAGTCCCGAGAGGTTGCTGATCTGATGACGCGCAGGAATATCCAAGTCCTATGCCTTCAGGAGACGCGATGGAAAGGTGCTAAGGCCAGGGAAATCGGGGAAGGTGTCAAGCTCTACTACAATGGAGAAGACACCAAGCGGAACGGCGTGGCCATAGCGGTAGCGGAGTCGCTCAAGGACTATGTCTCCGCTGTGAACAGGATCAGCGATCGGATCATGGCTGTGAGGATAGACACGAAGGAGGGGTACTGGTCAATACTCTCCGTGTACGCACCGCAAGCCGGGTGCCCCGAAAGTGATAAGGACGAGTTCTATCTAAGCCTGGACGAAGCCATAAGGTCGGTTCCGGAAGGCGATTACCTGACCATAGCAGGTGATCTGAATGGCCACGTCGGCAGTGATAGAAAAGGCCTAGAGAGGGTGCACGGAGGTAGAGGGATAGGATCGAGGAACGCTGAGGGAGAGAGGGTTCTGGACCTGGCTACGGCCCACGACTTGGCAGTCTGCAGCACGTTCTTCGCGAAAAGGAAGTCTCAAAAGGTAACCTACAGCAGTGGAGGGAGACAGACGGAAATCGACCATGTGCTGGTGAGAAGATCAACCCTCAAAACTGTGAAGGATATCAAAGTTCTACCCGGCGAAGACCTGGCTCCCCAGCACAGGCCCCTCCTGGCAGACATTGCGATAGACCTCCCCAAGAAGACAAGGGTAAGAACCGAGAGGAGAATCCGGTGGTGGAAGCTGCACCAAGCGGAGAAGGATGACCTCAGGCGAAAGATAATGGAAGTCGGTCTCCCAGATCCTAACGGGCCAAGTACAGCGGACTTGGGGCAACGCGGCTGAGACCATCCTGCGATGTGCCAAGGAGGTCCTGGGTGAGACGCGAGGTGGATTCAGAGGAGACAAGGCAGCGTGGTTCTGGAACGAGGAGGTCCAGCGAGTCGTGAAGCAGAAGAAGGAAGCATACAAGCGCTGGCAGAAGAGCCGAAGTCCCGAGAACTTCGCTGCCTACAAAACCTGCAAGAGGCTCGCGAAGGCTGCCGTCGCGCAAGGGCAAAGAACACGGAAATGGACGCCCTTGTACGAGAAGTTGGAGAGCCGAAACGCAGAGAAGTTCGTCTTCAGGCTGGCTAAGGCCCGGCATCGTGCTACCCAAGACATCAGGGTGGTGAAAAGTGTGAAAGGCAGAGATGGTGTCATCCTAAGGAAGCCAGCCGAAGTCAAAAGGAGGTGGGAAGAGTACTACAGTGCACTTCTGAACGAGGAGTTCCCCCACGAGAACAACTCACGGGCAGAGGCCACAGCTGGTCCCATCGCACTCTGGACTGAGGATGAGGTTAGGTGTGCACTTGGGAGGATGAAGATTGGGAAGGCGGTTGGCCCAGATGGGGTGCCAATCGAGGCTTGGAAGGCGCTCGAGGTTGAGGTCACGCGCGGAGGATAAGATGGCTCACACGATTCCTCAACAACATAACTGCGGAAGGAAGGATGCCAGATGCCTGGAGAACAAGCACTATCGTCCCCATCTTCAAGCAGAAGGGTGACGCGATGGACTGCTCCAACTACCGCGGGATCAAGTTGACTGCTCATACAATGAAGCTGTACGAGCGACTGGTTGACACGAAACTGACTCGAGGAACTGCGGGAGCTGGTCCCCATCTCCCAGGAACAGTTCGGGTTCATGCCCGAAAGGTCTACGACGGATGCCATCTTCATCGCAAGACAAGTGATGGAGAAGTATCGAGAAAAGCGCCGACCCTGTTACCTAGCCTTCCTCGACTTGGAGAAGGCGTTCGACCGGCTACCACGAGCGGTACTGTGGAGAGCGCTTAGAGAACGGAACGTGCCAGAACACCTGGTCTCGCTGGTGAAGGACATGTACGACGGGGCTAAGGCAGCCATACGCACCCCACATGGCCTAACAAAAGAGGTAAACATCACGGTTGGGGTGCATCAAGGGTCAGCTCTGAGTCCGTTCCTCTTCCTCCTAACACTAGATGTCATGGTGAAGGGGCTCATGGAAGGACCACTAAAGACCATCCTCTACGCTGACGACATCGCCCTGATAGCTGATAGCAGAGAAGAACTACAGGCCAAGGTGCAGAAGTGGCAGAAGGTCCTGGCAGAAGGGGGGCTCCGGCTAAATGTCAAGAAGACCAAGTTCCTGAGCTCCGAAGAGAGTGCAGAGCCGATCGTGGATGGACATGGCGAAAGCATCGAAAGAGTGGAGGACTTCCGATACCTTGGGAGTGATCTGGCGGCCGACGGCAGTGTGGACCAGGCAGTAAAGGGGAGGATCAAACGCGGCATGGATGAAATGGAGGGAATCCACTGGAATCCTCTGCGACCGAAGGTGCTCCTAGAACGCTCAAAGGGAAGGTGTACCGAACAGTGGTAAGGCCTGCGATGCTCTACGGCAGCGAGTGCTGGCCCCTGAACAAGAACCACGAAAGGCAGCTTCACTCGGCCGAAATGAGGATGCTGAGATGGGCCTGCGGCTGGACGCGACTGGACAGGGTCAGGAACGAGGATGTCAGAACGGTCATGCAGACTGCCCCTGTTCAGCTGAAGGTGAGGGAGCAGCGACTGCGGTGGTATGGGCATGTGCTAAGAAGACCACAAGGCCACCCAATAAGGAATGCAATGGACTTCGAAGCGCAAGGCAAGCGACCGCGAGGAGCCCCAAAGAAGAGGTGGAAGGACGTAGTCAAGAAGGACCTAAGCGAAATCATGGCCACTGCAGGGGATGCCCTGGACAGAGCGAAGTGGCGACGACTGATAAGAACAGCGGACCCTGCGACTGCGCGGGACTAACGCTAGGGAGAAGAAGAGAAGAAATGAAGATTTTTGGCGGCTCAGAAATATTACGTAATCTTTTCAAACCCTTTTGAAATATAAGTGACTGAGTTGGGTATTCGTTGGTTCCTTGCTAGAATACCAGTAAAGGTGACGATCCTTAACAAAAGGATCTTATTTTCATTGGGGGTCGTAGGTGGGCCAATGGAATTAGGCAAAAGGAAAAACCAAAATTCGCGTAGCGTAGAGTTTGTTGTCTCAACAGACACGTCATACCTGCTCTTCAAGCTCCAAGCGAATTTCCAACCCAATAATGTTGGAGGATTTGGGCCGAGGGGAGGGGAAAGGGAGTGGAGAGTTGGAGTGTGTCACGTAGTACCAAGATCAACACACTATTAAACTAAACAATATTGGCACCATAGACTAAGGTGTTGGAGGCAGGGTCAACCGTCCGTTCGAACTGTTCGAACGAAGGGGTCGCATTTTGGTCGGAAGGGGGTCGCAATTTCGAGGACTGCCAGCCACAGGCGCGTGCGTGGCGTATCCGAGGGCAAGATTGCTTGTGCAGACCGCATTAGATTCGATTTATTATGCACAGAGAGACAGTTTTAGGCAAATTACGGTGTTTTCTTGAGGAATAAAGAACAGTTGAATGCATCCCTATGAAAGGTTTGACTTCTCGGGGCTGAAAACAAAGTTCTTCGAGACCTAATTTTTTGGGACGCTTCTTCCAGACAACTGTGAAACATAAGGAAGCGGAAATCTCGTAGTCTTCAAAAATGTCTTTATCCCTCCCAACAAGCTCTTTGAAGGAAGTTATTATTGCTGAAAGCTCAAAAACTCGCATGTGCTGCTCAAAAACCTATGGGAAAAAATGTTCGAACGTGTGATTTTCTCGAAAAATGAATTTTGAAAAACGGTTTGGTGCTTGTTAGAAAGAGCAAATCCTACTTTCACCCCATGAAAAAAGTGCATCACAGAAATGAAAATGAAGTGAGTTATGGTCGCTGAAAGCCCAAAAACTCGCTTTTGCACGAAAAATGTTCGAACGGGACAATTTTTTGAAAAAGGGGACAATCACTAAACTTTTTATACTGTTTTGTTAGAGAAATATTTGAAGTTTCTGAAACTTTTTACAGCTTTCCAAAATGTCGCATACGAAAGATTTTATGGGCCTTCAAAGTTGAAGGTGCGCCTTCTTAGAATTTTGGGTTTTCCGCTTCTAACAGGAGTACTTTTCGGAGGGCTAAGCAGGGCGGTTATCCCTACTGCTAAACACAACCTAGAAAGGACTAACGGTTGCACGAGAAACACAACGAAGTATTAGGCGAGGCTAAAAGGGTTTCCTGGTCGATGAGGGTTCCCGCTTATCCGCAGTTATTCGCTTCTGTAAATCGTGGGTCGCACAGCAGAGTGAACGGAATTCTGAAGGGGTAAAGTCTATTTGAAATATCTAGTGCCTCAGTTGGAAATAAATAAATGAAAATTCCCAATTTCCAGGTGTTTATTCTGTCACGAATAGTCAGCAGGAGCCATATCAACGCCACTATTGTTCGAAGAAAACTGTGACATCATTTTGCAGATGCTAAAGAAACAGTCCTCATAGCGTGCAGAATAGTTTTCCACCCCCCACTCTCTCCCAGGATTGACCGAGTGATTTCCGATTTAGCCGGTTAAGACTATTACAACAGGACACCTAAGATTACTTCGAAGATTTCAATTACCGAAAACCCAGCAAGGAACCAATGCTTACCAGAATCCACGTCCGGTTCCACATCCGGGTAATCTGAGGCGGCATCTGTAGAGAAACCGGCGATTACCTGAAGGCTGCTTTGCACTTGTACCCTGACAGAGCAGATTTCTGGTTGATTGCCTGTTGGATTAACAGAAATGCTCATACTCCATTTTCCAGGTGGAAGATCGTCTGTAACAGTTGTAATTTATTTATTTATTTATTTATTTATTTATTTGTGCTTGAACACGCCATGAAATCAAAGTATGTGAAATTAAAGTACGTTAAGTTAAAAATTTCAACGATGCTATAAAAATGGCAGGTGGCGTAGCGGCAGGTGTCGCTGCTGACTATGCGCAGGTCGAGGGATTTGATGCTGGATACGTCGCCTAAGCAGAAGACTCCCCACTCCTTCGGGGCCTGCGTTAGCAGAGCCATGCTTGCCTGAGGTGAAAATACTGGCTCGAACATCGGCTACCCCTCACAAGTCATTGTTTAGACCAAATGGCACTCAAAATGCCAATACGATCTTAAATGGAAGTAGAATGGGTGTCCCCCAAGAGGCCCGCCGCGCGGCGAAGGAAGAGACGCAGACGCGGCAAAAGACGAGGCGCAGCGCGGTGCTGTCCGATATAAGACGCAGTACGGTACACTCTACTTAAACTGACGCTAACCGCTACAGTATGCGCTGCGACTCGTCCTTTGCCGCGTCTGCGTCTCCTTCACCGCGCGACGGGCCTCTTGGGGGACACCCAAGTAGAATGAGTGGCGCATTTCAAGATGGGATTTGAAAAACAAAATGCCCTATCCTCTATCCCTTTATCTTCATCTGACAAATCAGTCTAACGCGGCTTTTGTCTAGAAGTTAGGGCATTCCCTGATTAAGCGTGGTCGCACCCAATGGAGGAGCTTTGTTGCAATGGATACGTATGTTCATAAAAAGCTAGCTGCAAATCTGTCGAGATCAGGCCAGACCAGCGACTGTTGCTTACACACCTATAATTTTTAGAAATAAAATAGATGGTACCTTCTCCAAAAACACTGGGAGGATGACTCTCATCATACTGATGCCTCTCGCACACAAACGGAAGCTCTCGGCCGCAAGCACCAGTAGCCCTGAAAAAAGCCTTTTCTCCTTAGGGTAACGATGATGCGTTAACACAGGTAGTGGTCCGGTACCATGTGTTATCGCCGATCAAGTCCCCTCTCCAATAAACACAGGCAGCGTTTGGATCATACGGTGGTGCAGCGCCTCCTCCTTCCCAGTACTGGTGGTCTCGGGTTAGCTGAATAGATTTCCAATCATTGACTTTTGAATGATTTCCATTAATGAGGTCAAATACCGGCAGAGGAGCGATGTCATTCGGACGATCCCAGAGATACATGCTTCCATTGTGGTGCATTCCAATCCAGAAGCTGTAATTATGCGCCATGCCTAAATGAAGCGAATAGTTAGAAACGCCAGAGCGAACCCAATTTGATAAAAGCTCTTTCACAGCTCACCAAAAAGGAGACTTTAATTAGCCGCTTAGCGGAAGAGATTCTTTCAAATAATTGGCTATCATTTCTGGGCCTAAATGAGTCGCAGATGTCGCGATTTTGGCCTTTGCGCTGCCACTGGATATTTCGAAATTCGCTGCGCTAATTCGATTGACATCGCCATTCTCAACGAGAGTACTCCTTCCTCATACGATGAAATACGGTAATGGTCTGAGGCTGAACACTATGAGGGGCGCCATAGAACGGGATGGCTCCGCCCACAGTGTGCGCGCAACGTCAGTTTAAGTGTTCTAGCAGTTCTGGGTATCTTTGACTATCGGTGAACCCAATTACCGCGAATGCAGAAGCCATTTTCAATTGCGGAACGATCGTATAGGCTTTTGCGTTCCGGCGCTTTGCGACTCTTATTTGTCAGTTTTCGCTTTCTATACGATTAGTTACGCTAGAATACGGTAAAGCGATAGAGCTATCCAACCAACAAGTGTAGGATGGAATGCAAACGTTGCCTTTCAAGGCTCATCGCACAAATAAATAGGTGTGGGTTATAGCACCTGAACGAGAAAAATAGTTGTGGAACTCGAATCCAGCAATAAAAAAGAGCAGATCCTGTGCATAACCGAGCGAAGAAATGAGACGCAGTTTTTGACCCCTGTTTGGTCCATACATTGGTGCAGGGAGCGCATGGCTCCGGTTCTTGCGGTGTCAATTTGACATACTCCAGGATTAGAGGAGAAGCCATGAACATCCCGCTCACACGTCTTAAAACTAACGTGCGTGAAACAGAAGAAACATGGCGCTCTGGTCGAGCTCAATGGGGTTCTCGACTGATCGTGTACCGTTACGACGGGTTCCGAAGGGCGGGTTCCGAGGGGGTTTGCATAGTTAGAGCTAATGTCCCTAGGAAACTATCCCACGTTGAATCGATCCAAGAAATTATGTAAGAGCTTCAGGCTGAAGCAGTTACTGTAGGCCTCCCTGAGCTCGACGACGGTGACAGATGACGTCATATTCTGAAGACGGTGAGGGTAGTGAAGGGGGGTGTACGTGTAGGCTGGTGTTTCTGAGTAATTCGCAGTACTTCCCCTCCTATTCCGTGACTTCTCCTGCTTTTGTTGCTTCCCCGCTCAGCCAGTAGAGACTCACATACAAACCGTTTTGTTTTCACAGCGTCAAGCGCACGAGAATTAGAGAATGTCACCGGATTGACTGACTATGTAAAAACTGGTGTTTATCGTCACCCAGATCGTCAATAAGATTTCCACCAGCCGCGTGGCAATGTGCTTGGGCATCTGTGTAGTTCTTATTCTTGGGGACGAACTGGATACAATGCTGTCCGACCTTTTCCCATCCGTCATCACAGTCTGAAATGGACATCACTTGTACTACTGTATGTAGTCGATGCTGCTTCAACTGCAGTACCTCTACGTATCTCAACGACATCCCATCCAGAGAACCTGTCCTGTACCAAACTGAAACCTTCCACCTCCTTACCTGAAAATTTGGGATGATGGGTGGAAGGAAAGTTACAATGAAGAAGCGCTGTCCGCCTCCTGGAATGAAAACATACCATTCGGGTCAAAGACATGAAGGGTTTTTCCGTGACCTGACGCTGAAATTTGAATAGTTTGCGTGTATGCGTCGACGGGAAAGTGGATCTGAAATTCGGATAAAACTTTGATTTTTTTAACAGATAGTTGTAGGTTCCAAAACAAGCGGCATTCAAGGTTCGACCTCGGCGATGTAACCTCACTGAGGTGATTAAAAAGCATAGCTCAAATGAAATAATGACCCCTTCCCATGGAGAAAAATTTGGTAACCTTCCAAAAATTTGAGACTTGTCGGGAACACATATATGTCCACTGCAGACTTTGCACCACAAATGACGACGATTTCCACAAAACGAAATAGTTTTCCGACAATGAAATGGCCAGTTGCAGATAAATTATCAGTTGTCCTTAATTATAACTACCTTTTGTCAGCTATTTGGACTATTAAGCAGTAGCTATCAGATTGACATGGTGGCCTACGTCACTTGCATTGTGGAATCTGTAGTGCAGACTTCCTCAGCCGCCGGATACAAAGGCTCCATATTTGTGTAATCGGTGGAATTCAGGAGTGAAATCGAGGATTCAGTTTCAGCAAACGCCAGGAAACAGTGGTTCATTGCCGTAGGTGGAAGATTTTGGTTCGAAACATTGACCCGTAGTGCTCCGGTCACGCAGGACAGAAGTGGTACAGGCCTGTGGTACCAACTCTGTCCTGCGGGACCAGAGCACTAAGGACGCTGCTGAACTGTTACTAAGACTTGATATCCCTTGGGGTTAGACAATGTTTTCATTCAAGAAGATCACGATTTGTACTTGTGTGGGTTCGGACTTGACAAAAAAACTGCTTTCACCTAGGAACCCGAAAAAGGCTAGGGTAAAAACACCACAGCTCAATCAGAATGCGCCATGTAGGCGACCTTCGCTCAATACCACGTACGCTTATTTTCTACTCAGGAACTTGTTTATGAACGGTTTTGGGTTATTGCACTGAGCAATTCCGAAAGTGGTTCGCTAACAATTCAGCCTCTGACTTATACCAAATTTGGTACTGGAAGACATAGTGAAGCCATCGTTCTCTTCGAGCCTCAAAGTCAACAACGCGCTGATGCTTATCCCTCGCTCATCATATGTTGCATCTGACTTACCTTGATCGGTTGTGTACAATGGGAGCTGTGTTGTACATGGACTAGAGCCGATTGGTATTGCAAAGGAATCACTTGAGATATCTAGAAGTAAAAAGAACATGATATTCTTCCGAGATACGAGTATGTGTCGTCGATTAGTTTTCGAATTTGATTGGCTCATAAATTCTGAGCCACTTTGGCAGTATTTCATATTTCATTAATAAAAGGTCCGCGAGGGATCGCCCGAGCTCAAGCAACCATCTCGTTAACTGACTCGAAATGCTCTCGTACGACTCGAAATGCTGCTCTCCGGTCCCTTCGGGTCCTACGCAGGGTCGCTCCTACCGTTGCGACTTCTCCGAAATTTTTTACGACCCCCTTCCTTCACCACCCTCGCCATCATGGTCGCTTTTTCTATAGTATTTTATTCTGAGACCAGTCGACCACCTACTCCACTCACTTGTCCCTCCACCCGTCAACCGGGAGATCATATAAGTGCACCGAAACCACGAAATTTTCGCTTTACTTTTCACGTCCTAAACTTACCCATGATTTCTCAGATAACATCGAATACGACCCCTCAACCTATAAACTCATCAAAATACGACCCTCCCCCGTCGGTACTCGTCGCAACATACATAGGATTGACCCTGGTCCTACGTCTTCTATACAACAATCAAGACCTGGCCCCGTCATACCAGATGTACTACATCGCAGTGCACATGGTTTCCGTTCTGAATGAATTCGATGCTTAATTAGGGTGGTATTACAGTCCATCTGTCAAACCCAATAACAAATACACATATAAGTCCAGCGTGATTTACGAAACCGCTAACTGTTATGTACAGCGGGCTAGCAAGCGACAGGACTCCCTTCAAAATTACAGATATTTCACTTTCAGGTAGCATCCTACATTGTGACCTCGAGTAGCAAGCGTTTCTACGAGATACCTTCGCTATCAGGTTGCCTGGTAACCAGACCGTTACCCAACATTTCACAAGTACCCTAATTTCCGGTAGATAAGCCCGCGCCGATATCACGTAAAAACACCTCCGCTGGTGCAGTGCACTTGCGTACATCTAGAGACAACCGTAACTTGCCCATAGGGGTAATTCGATATGCTGATTACGAAAACGACATTCATTTTTAGCGGTGGCGCCATCTGGCGCCAGTTGGCGTCACCTTGTCACGACCCTTGTTTTCACCAAAATCGGTGTAAACTTCTGTAGGGGTTATTTGGTACCCTGATTACGAATATGACATTCGTTTCTCGGCGCTGGCGTCTGTTTGGCGCTATTTGCTGACGATTGACGAGCAGAAAATAGGCGCCAAACACCGCCTAGAATGAATGTCATATTCGTAATCAGGACACCAAATAACCCCTATACGGAAGTTTACACCAAATTTGGTGAAAACAGGTGTCGTGACAAGGTGACGCCAACTGGCGCCAGATGGCGCCACCGCTAAAAAT